CTGCTGCAGCACCGCACCAGTTTCAACGATATCTACACAAAACTGGTTCAAAAATTAAACAGCGAGAGGAAATACATAATCGACTTGATCGACTATGCGCTAGCCACATTCGAAAATTGCATACACGTTTATGAAAAGATGAACAACTTAAATAAGAAGGATGCAAAGGATCACGAGTTTAGAATGGTTGAAATGCAGGCTACTATGCGGAAGAGAGCATCCGACGCGGCTAAATATAAGTTTTTGGATTGTAAAACTCGAGAAAGGATAATGGACGATCTGCAGCCAAAAGAATATCGACGGCGTGAGAAATTTCGTCAGCAACATCGTAAAAAGATCAATTTATATAACACGATATTGCAAAAAATTTTGGAATACACCGACTCTCATAATGTGTCCGCCGTCATTAATAAGTTTCAGCAACAAGAAAGCCTTTACTATTCGTATTTTAACTACGCCAATGAATTGAGCTATCACATGACTCTGCTCAACAACACAGTGAATCGATTATTTAATGAAATTTCCGAACTTAAACATACCAACCATAATACGTTGCAAACTCAGGTAGACACTATTGAGGAACTCGAGAATACGCTAAAAGAGCGGCAAAAGAAAAATGATGATCTGCGTAAGGTGCGCGATGAAAACGACGCACGGCTCAAGAAATTGCTTGATGGCATACAGGTGATCAAAGTTCAGTCGCGTGCCGATTGCAAATCGCTCGAAGCACTGTTGGGTGACTTTTCCCATGTCAATCTCTCCAATATGCGTCACTTCCTGAAGATACTGGAGAAGCGCATACACTCCATCACGATGGCGCAATATATGCTCGAACGAAGCGGTGCCACCAGCAATCAACCTAATTATATCGTTAAAGATGTGCACAAAATCTGCGATTGGCCAACACCATTAGATGACATTGTTCTGACGCAACAATGTCCGGAATGTGGCGAGGCCGATGCAACCAATGTTGAAGATACTGAGGGTGGCGATGGTATACAGAGTTGGAATACTGTAAAGAAGAAATTGTATGAGCGTGTCATTCAGCCGGAAATGCAATATCGCTTGCACAGCATTAGTCAGTGTCGCTTGCCGAGATCGCGTATGCTTGCAGCGAAACGTAATGATTGAAACGTAGAAAACCATTTAAATGCAAGGAATTGTTTTTATTATATATATGCACGGCATGCATACATATACTACCTTCAAATTGAAAGTATTAAATGTAGAATTTTTTCTAAGTTTATGAAATCAATGTCCACGAATATACGGATACATAGATATATTTTCTATATACATGAAAGAGTTTTACTTTTATGACTACCTTGCTAGCAGTTGAAAGGGCGCCTATTGTCCCTTCTGCATCTTCTTATTTTGCGCCGCAATCGCCCAAGCGAATTTAGCCGAGTTCAACAAAGAACGCCAGTCGTTTCTATTATGTGCCAACTACCGCCAATTGGAAATGCTAAGTGAAGCCAAGTCCTTCTCCATCACAGTGGGGGCATCTCTCTTCCTCTGCTACCACCAGCGGCTTCCGAGTTGACTACTTTCAGAGCTGGAGCGTTAATGTCCATTCGAACAACATGATCGAGCCAGCGGAGGCGCCGTATAGCTCATCGTTCCATCGTCTCAGGCGCGGAAATCTTTCGCAGAATATTTCTCTCGAAAACTCCAAGAGCCGCTTCTTCAGATGACTTCATTGTCCACGTCTCCGCACCATACACCAGCACGGGCATGTTGAGTGACTTATAGAGTGTGATTTTTGTACGATGAGAGAGGACTTAACTCCTCAATTGCCTAATCAGTCTAAAGTAGCACTTGTTGGCAAGCTGGATTTTGATTCTGACACTATTATCAATTTGAATACAAGTTCTTAAATAAACGAAATTCTCTACTTTCTCGAAATTATAACTGTCAGCAGTGACGGGAGGGCTAAGGCGAGAATGCGCTGATTGTTTGTTTGCTGGCAGCTGACATTTCGTCTTATCTTAGTTGACCACCAGATCCAATCGCTTTGCTTCCTTATCCAACTTGGAAAAGGCAGAACAGATTACGCTAGCAATAGCATGCTCTTGTAAAAAAAAATTGCTCAGTTCTGCATCGCCTGTTATCGGAGTGAGTCGCCCTTTTCTGAAACCACCTTTGGTGGTCTTTCCAAATTTTGACGAAGCTGGTGGTATTGTTCAATATCATTTTAAACAGCCATATCAATTTGGCGGGTGCCAAATTCAGACACCGCGGCATATAGGCAACTGCTTTTAGTGCTGTCTAAAGTGGCTTTTGAATTCTTATTTTTTCCCAAGAGATCATTGTAAATATCAATTTTGAGTGAATACGCTTCAGTATTCACTGCTGGTCGCAGTTTTCGTATTTCTTTAAACTACCGTTACATGGGGGTCAGTGCACTGAGAAAAAGGATTAGTTTCGACAACTAAAGATATTTAGTTCCCGAATTTTGACAATATTTGGGAACTGTTACCAAGGATTGGGAACTATTACCATCGATTGGTAATTATAACTAAATATATTAAAGTTTCTAATATTCATCTAGGTTGTAACAAATCGTTAATTTAGTTGAAGGGTCTGGTTAATACTAATAAATATTTCTTTGAAGCATATTTCTACAAATTCCATTCAACTTAACGTATGGTTCATAAAAGGATGTTATTAAGCTCTGCTAATGCAGATAAGCTTTCTTTCAACACGTGGTTTAGTCATAGTTACCAAATCTTAGTTGAGGCAACCACGATTTGGTTTGAGAGTGGAACATATTCATGCTTGTGAGCCACCCCTAAAGAATGCTGAGCGCTCTCTGAGCACATACGAAGAGCGCCAGCTGAGCAATGCACACAGTCCCACTTATTGAATCGTTTGAATGCGCTAATATGCCGACCATTGCATTGTGCGTGGAAATCATTGCTCCGCTACCGCTGTTCGTATACGGGTGAAACACGCATGTGGTCCCAGAGCGCTCAGTAAGCTATGGCATGTCGATCGCTGCGCCATGTGTGCTATGACATGCCCATACTTGTTTGTCACAGTTTCAGTTTTGCTATCATCGCGGGTTGTTTCGGTGCGCGCATAGTTTAAAGTTTAATTAAAAATATAAAGTTTGATGCCAACCGGGGTTTTTTAGTGGATATATAATTCATGTGAATTATAATTTGCTATTTAGCTAAGGAAAAAGCAAAGCAGTATACTTCCAGCAGATATTGACCTGGGTTTTCGCACGACTGTTCCTGTTTCATCGTTGTTTTTTAGGAAATTCTTACCACCATATACATATGTATTATTTACTTTAGTAACTAACTTATGTAAATATGTACGTATTTTTATGCTTAATATATGCAAATAAAAGAAGAAAGTAAACACAACAAACATCGAGTAAATTTTTATTTGTGTCAAACTGAAACTTTTTTCCCAATAATAAACGGTTAGCTGATTCAAGTCTACGGCAAGTTCACAAAATTAATTGAAAACTTGTATCAACCAAAGCATTGTTTATATTTGCTCAACAATGATTTTATTTAACTAACAATATTGTCCAATCAAGGTAGTCGTTTTGTAATTATTAACAAATATACATTTGTCCCAACTAGAAGTCTTAAGTAAATTGCAGACTTTCGTGAACTATATATTTATTTCGCCATATCCAACTATGCCACTTGATCACTATAACCAAATCTTGGTTATTATAACTAAACCTTTTTCTGGGTGTGTAAAAATATAGGTGCCTCCATTTGAGTCACAACAACAGAACTCACCGCTCAAATTTGAGGAAAAGCTCAGTCAAATACGAGATTAACGAAAATTGTTGGTATGGTAAACTCCGAGATTATGAGTAGTGTTTAGTGTTTAATGATAAACTCCAAAATGGCCGATAAACCTGAGTTACTTTTAAAAGTCATCAATATAAATCAGTCACCGACTGTTGTTTTTTTAATCGTTCGTATAAAAGTCACTAACATTTTTTGGAGTTAAGAAGGAGTTGGGAAATAAAAGTTTACTACGACTTATACAAACGACTTTTATAGGTATGATTTAAAAAATAAAGGGCAGTGACTGATTTTTATTTATGACATTTATAAATAAAAGTCTTCGATAACTGTTATCTGAGACATATAATTTAAATTTAATTTTATTTAGATAAAAATCAAAAATAATTGTTATTTTGGATTTATAAAATAAACGTCAGAAATAATGGTTGTTTAAGGAGTACTTAAATAAAAGTCAAAAAATAATTGTCAAAGAGCGATTTAAAAAAAAAAAGTTGTAATGTTACGGTCCCTGATTTTTCAAAAATAAGTATATGAAATTTTGAAGGATATACAAGGATACAATATTAAAAGAATATTTTCAAAACCTTTACGTCCTTGTGATCCTAAAAATTAAAAAAAAAACAAGTAGTTTTTAAGCAAAAAATAAAACCGACTTCAATTCTTATATAAAAATCTAAGATTGCCGTTAATTTCTCCAGACCCAATGATCGGATCCAAACCAATATATATGGGACCACTGCGGAAGTTATGCGGTAGCGGTAATATATGTACATAAAAAAATATTCCGACGAATTGATAACCTTCTCCTTTTTTTGAAGTCCATTAAAAATCAATTAGGGTATTTTGCCAAGGCAAGGATGGCGTTGTGGGGTTTTGCAATTGTATCTCTTCTGATAAGGTGGTGTTACTAGCTCAGCTGATTTTATGTATGTGTTTCGCAGCACGGCTGCTGATGTAAATTTTTGTTTTTGTACTCCTGATATCACCTTATATTAATTCGCCTTGATAGCGATGACATGAAAATATTTTACTGTGAACTTAACATCTTTTCTTTAATAAATTTGAAGTATCTATTTCATTAGAATGTCTGAAAAATCTATTAATTTATGATAAGTTATTTAGTTTGCTAGGAATAGAAGTTTCGTAAAAAAAAATTTTCATCTCTTTAACTTTTCGCGGAATACTTCAATTTTTGGTCCAGATACTTGATATCATTTAGCCATGGCGACGACAACTCCAGAACTAAAGTCATCATTTTTAAGAGAATATTCGCAAAAGCTAAGCGAAGTTTCGAAAAGACAAAGCGATTACAGACGAGCTCTAGGGACACGCTTGAAGAACTTTAGGCGCAACCAAATCGTGGAGACAAATCTAAAGACTGGCATTGCCAAACTCCGAAGAGAAGGAACCGATATAAAGTCACAGGTGTGGACTGCATTCGGTGCTGCATACAATAAAAATACCGCTAATAATCTGAAAGCTATTAAATGTCATATAAGTTGTGAGGAGAAATTAGCCGATGGCATACAATTTTTAAAAGCAGGCATTGCCAATATAAATCGTGCATTAGGTCAAATAACACGTCAGATATACGACCTAAATAGACGCACTGTACCTGACACGCGTGCGGTAGAAAATGCCATAAAGGCACGTAAACGGCTGATGTTGCTGGAAAATCAATTGGAAGTCGGCATTCATCGGGAATGCAAAATGACCGCTGAGAACAGGAAGCTGCGTGAAGAATTGCTTGAACATTTGTCCATGAGGAAAATCTTTAACGACCATTACTTTAAATTAATCCATGCTTTGAATAGCGATAAGAAATACATGACGGATTTGATAGGATATGCGATGCATCAATTCGACGCGAGCATAGAACTTTATGAAAAGTTTGATATTTTGAAGAAACGAGATGCTAGAGATACTGAACCAAAAAGAATGGAAATGCGTGCTCTTAGCAGTGCTAAAGTAGCGCTAAGTTATGAAATGGAGTTTTATAAGAAAAAGAATACTCAAAGAACTTTGGCACCCTTACAACCGAAGGAGTATAGAAGACGTCAAAATATGCGCGAAAGCTTGAAAAAGAGACTTGCCGTAAACAAAGACGTACTCCACAAGATCTTCGATTACACTGGTAATAGCGGTATTAAAGACGTTATAGAAAATTTTAAGCAACAAAAAAGTCTTTATTATTCATATTTTAACTACGCCAATGAAACAAGTTACCATATGACGCTACTAAATAGTGCAGTGAATCGACTCTATTCGGACATCGATGATCTCAAATTGGAAAATCGGAATACAATGCGAGTTCAATTGGAGCAAATTCAAAATATGGAGCGTTATTTACATGATAAGCGAAAGAGCAACAGCGAACTTAAGAACGTTTCACAAAATAACAACAAGCGATTGACCAAGCTCCTCCAGGGCTTCAAGCTAATACGCGACTACTCGAAAACCGATTTGAGTATACTGCAAGATTTCTTGGGAGACTACGACGAAGTTAATCTCCACAGTTTACGGCAGCAACTCAAGCTAGTGGAAAAGCGTATATTTAGCATTTTAGCAGCGGTCTATTTACTAGAGCGAGAGAATATTCAAAACGATCCCAATAGTTATCTCGTAAAACAAATAGAACAGTTCTGTGATTATGTAACAGATGTGGATGATATTGTATTGACCCAACAATGCCCAGAATGCGCCGAAGTGGATGCATTGAATGCAGACGGGACTGAAAGCGCCGCTATTTTGCCTATAGAAAGTGTCAAAAAGAAGCTTTGCGATAAAGTTACACAACCGGAAATGCAATACCGTTTGCATAGCATGAGCGCATGCCGGTTCCCAAGAGCCCGTATGTTGACAGCAAAGAGAAATTTGGAGTTGCAGAGTAATTCGTAAATAGATAAAATAGGATGAAGACAGTTAAAATTAATACTCAAGATTATAAAAAAAAAAAACCAATATATAATTGTCGATAAATTAAAGCAAAAGAAAAAAAAATAAAAATTTCAAATAAAATGATAAAAACTATATAAAATTAAATAATATGTAAAAAAAAACTATTTTCAACAAAATAAAAAGTATGAAAGTGTTTAGAAACTATGGAAATTTTAATCGTTGGTGTTGCACTATACATATGTACATGCATGCATACTTACGTACATTTGTAAGTACCCACCAAACAATTTGTGTTGCCAGCAATAAGAAAACGTGTCGCCCTCGAATCGATTTCCTATTACCGGTCGCTCTAAAACGTCCGCCGAAGGCAACTCGCCTGGGCGAGTCGTTTTCTTATTACCTGAATGAGTCCTTTTCTTATCGCTTCAGGCGATATTTGGAATAATTTTATTCTTTTTAATACTTCATTTATTTTCTTGTATACCAAATTGCAACTTACAATCGGAATTAATTCATTTTCTCGCTGTGAGGCTTCCTATTTTTTCAATCTTGTCCTTGGACATAATTTAGATGCTTTTGGCCAATACTAATGACGCCATATTCATAAGTTTCGGAATTTTTGAGAACTTATTTATTCAAAATTGACATGAACGAAGTGATGTTGCCGATTTGTCACCACAGCAATAAATCGGTGAGTCGCCAATTTGTTGCCATTGACGATTGTTGCCTATTTCTTATGTTTTGCATGGTGGGTACGGTGACCAGATTTCTGTGAGCGAAAATCGGGAGATTTCTAAAGTATCAAATCCGAACACAAAATTTTGTCGCCAGGATAAAAGCGCATAACTCATTTCAATACAAATTTCAATTCAAATTAAAAGAAAGTAATTAATAACACATCGTAGTTTATTTTAAGGATATCATTATATTTTTTTAATGATTTCACCAAGTTAGACGGGCTGACAACAATATTTTAGTTATTCGAAAAATGGCTTGTTGAAAAAACCCGATTCATTTTCAAATTCAACATTATCATGAGTTTAGTTTTCCCAGACCCGGTTCACTTTTCACTTTTCGTTTCCATAGTTTTACTATCGGCGGATGACAAATTTTCGGGTGAATTTTTTTTTTTTCAGGCGATACTCAGGATAAGGCAGATTAAGAAAAACCCTAATAAACCGATTTTATTTTACACATTTTCGCTCATTATTAATGTTTAGGGCCGCTTGTTCAATGTCTGGCTATCCCTACCGCCCAGTCGATAAAGCAGTCGATGTTTTTAAGCGGAGCCCAGTAAAATTTGATAAATTTGGTACGAAAAACAAAAAAATTTTTAACAGCAATATTTTGATGCAGTTTACTTCTATTTGACACGTAGATCATGGAGCTACAGTCTTACCCCTAAATTTCATTTGGCAACATTCCGCCATATTGGATTTTAGTTTATTCGGGTTTTTTGCGATTTGCAAGCTTATTTTGCATTTTTCGTAAAAAATTGTTTAGTACAAATTTGTAGAGAATTTAATTTCCCACATTTGTTATAGTTGCGATCCCGTACGAGTCCGGACTAGTCAGAAATAGTCAGAATCAGTCAGATTTTACTGGAAATCGATCCCGTACTCGGTTCTCTGACTATTGAGGGGACAAAAAAGAGAGCAAATACGGTTCTCTCTCTGTCAGAAGTTACCAGTTTTAGTCCGAGAATTTTTTGCTGGTAAATTCTGGTAAATGTGTCAAACGATCAGCTGTAGTGTGTTTGGAAACCAAATTGTAAACAAAAGAAAAGTGCACTCTGCTAATTCATGTTGAAAAGTATTTAATTACTTGTTTAAGTGGATTCTAATGAATTTGAAAGTATTTTTGGTTATTTTCATGTGTGAGCTGAGTGTGTTTACTACAAACTAAGCAAAAATTTACAACCAAAACTTGGAGGTTATGTTGAAGTTGACAGAAGTTACCATTTTTTACTAGAAAGCGATCCCGTACTTTTCAATGTTACTCTCTCGCTCTGAGCGAATTTTTATTTTTTGACAGTTTTACTAGTCCGAGTCCGAGGAATGCGGGATTGCACCTTATATGTATAGGAGATTTAAGATAAAGTATCCACTGGAATTGTGGTATTGAAAAAAGTGTTTGCCAAAACCAATTTTTGCTGTTCAATGAGCGACTAAATGAATAAATAATGAATAAATGACCTTGGCATCAAGGTAGTGGGATGGTATTTTCAGGAATTGTAGTTGATAGTTCATCCTTAATTTAAGTCAAAGTGGAAGGTTGTATCACCTTTTATTTAATTGCGGTAAATACTCAAATTTCGCCAAAATCAGTTTTTGCTGTCCAATAAATGAATATAAGTGACCGTCGGATCAAGGTCCACGGATGACATTTTCAGAGATAATAGTCGAGAGTTCTAGCTTTAATTTAAGCCTAAGTGGAAAAATAGACAACCCAACGTTTTCACATTCTATAGACTTTAATGCTTTCCCACTGGGAAAATAGGTAAGCACCATACGAGGTAAGCCATGTTTTCTTTCAGTTTTAGTACCAAAATTGTCATCATGGCCAATGTCATCTACTAGTAAAGCACAAAATGAACACCTCCGACGACAAATTACGTTGTCAGTTGCAAAATAACGTGCAGCCGAAGTTATTTCCAAGCGCCGAACTACTCCGAGCGACTGCTCTGCACTATGCGTTACTTACTTTGTAAAGCAGGTCAGAGGTATGTCTGATACCAAATGTACATTTTTAATTCCTACTTACATAAGGCGGCCACGTCTTTGTTAAAGTAATGGAGATCCGGCAGGGAAGTGGTAAGGACCGCCAGGTGAAGGGCAATACCTTACCAGCAACTTACACTTCACTTCGGCTGCACGTTATTTTGCAACTGACAACGTAATGTGTCATCGGAGGTGTTCATTTTGCGCTTTACTAGTAGATGACATTGGCCATGATGATAATTTTGGTACTAAAAACTGAAAGAAAACATGGCTTACCTCGTAAGGTACTTACCTATTTCCCAGTGGGTTTCGATTGGTATATGTATGTATATGAAATTTGTTCATTAGATCAATGAGGGCAAATTTAAAAAATAAATTAATAAATTTTTCTAGAACGTATTTTCACCATTATCCTGTGTAAAAGTTCGGGTAATGTATTTTGGTTTGAGAACAATCCAGTTTCGACATCACCATCTTTCTATGCGCTTTTATATGGAAACAATTGTGATTATGTTTTAAAAATTTATTCTATCTCTAATATGCCTTACAAATGTATGTAAATATATAATACTGACATTGAAATTCGAGTTTTGTAACTGAGCTTATTTCAAGCATATGCGGAATGATTGCCCAACTTAAGTTATGAATATGCATTTCGTTAACACCGTTCGTTACATTTTTCATCATTATCTAAACTTCATTTGATGCGGCGGTCGTAGTACTAACATTGTCCATCTCTTCACCTAGTCCCAAACCGCTGATGAGGCCGCCAAGAAAACTGCCGATTAAATTAGCGCCACCTGCTGGAGGCGCAGGTGCTGGTTGCATCGGCAATGGCGCTGGTGCGGGTACTGGACCCGGCATTGGAGCAGGTGCGATGGCACCCATATTGCCGCCATAACTGCCGCCACCCATTGCAGTCGCATCGCAATTGTACATCTTGTTCAACTTCTCGATATCGAATGCCGAGAAGCCGTCACGTTGGCCCATTAGCTGGTTGCCACCCGGTCGCTAGGGAGTAGATTAGAGGGATTATTAACTGTTTGAAAAAAGTTAATTCAATATTATACTTTTATGTGAATTTGAGTAAAAGATGTTAACTGTATATATGTACATACATATGCATACACTTAAATATGTGAGTAAATGCGGAAGTGCCCGATTTATGTACATACTAATATACAAACACATGTTGTCAGAAGACTTGCCTCTCTAACAAATCCTACAGTCGCCTGACGTACACACTATATTATCGCTCAAATTAGATTCATATATACATACATACATATGTACTACATCTTATCACCTAGTCACCAGTTTATTGAACCAGCTGTTGCGGAACCTTCACTTGTCGGGAATTTTACTAATCGTATTGTAAACAACAAACAGCCTTGAATAGGGGCCAAAGGCATTCTGACGCCAGTTTCGTTTAACTACATATTTATCTATAGTTTTGTTTGAGTGATCTGTATCTGTATCTGTATCGTAATTTAAGATCTCACTGCTTTATTTGAAGAGTAAACTACTGTTAACCTCTTAGCCTCAATGCTGTAGGTAAGTTATAGTTAAAAACGAGAAAGATGGTTAATGATTTCCATTATAACACATCTAACAACTGGTGGATGTCATAAAGATTGCTTGAAAAACGAAATGGTCTATTCGGTGCCTGGATTTTAAGAGCTTGTGTCCGACTGATTACTATATTATTAATAGTTAACTTAGAATTACGGTCGATAGAAGATACATATATATTTCCCATCGTAAAACAAAAAGTACAAAATCTGTATAAGCCACGTTTGTTAGAAGAGGGTATTTTGCAGTTAAAGTTATATTTATGAACAAAATATAAAAGAAAGCAAAAAAAGATGTTACATATTTCATTCCGATATGAATTTAACTCTTTCTTACAAATTTTCTAAAAACACACAGGCAAACAATTGCAAACTTAATATGGCGTTAAAAAATAAATTTGGCCTGCGAATACAAAAATATTTGGAGGTTTTATTTACTATATGTGTATTGGTCTTTCATTCTGGGTTGAAAACATTCCGCCCTCAAACAAAGATCGTTAAATTGTTGCACAGTGTTAACAGTTCGACTGAGACTTTGCTGCCAGCACAATGTTAGTGCCGTTCTTCGCACACCGGTTTCCGACTACATATGTATGCCGGTCAACCGAAAACCTGAGAAACTGAAGGATTCAAAGGCACTTCTAAACAGTGCGTTTGGGCATAATCCTTCCCATGAATCGGAAATTAATGCTTCTAACGCCTTCAATAA